ATTATTATTTTCTAAAATATAACTTAATCGTTCAATATATTCTGATAAAACACATTGTGTATGAAGTAGGCTCCATTTATTTTTGTTCAAGATTTTTATGTTCGATTGATTATCCGGTAGTTTTGTTTTTCCACATCTTGAACACAATGTGCCATTCATAAATAAGAGGTACCAAATAGCACGTGTGATATTTATTTCATTCATAGTTTCATTATTATTTCATGTTCAAATTATCATAAAACTAACAATAGAAATATTGTTTTTAGAACAATTATTTATAATTTAAATAGTAATTAACATCAAAACATACAAATGTAACAGATAGACCCTAAAATGTGACACCAAAAAGGACCATTTATCTACCATATTTTTATTAAAAGTAACAATATACATATTTTGAATACATTTAGTATGTTTCACAATTCACTATTCAATAATTGCTATATTTGATTGATTTAAATAGATAACATTCATCTGTCTATAATATATTCAGGCAATACACATAGTGGTAAGAAAGATTGCTATTTTAACTTAATGCTTTGTTATGATAGGAAAATCTTGTTGGCGTGATTAAATTTTGTTACATTTCTATTGACGATATTTAAAACAAGGCAACTGAAGTTATTTTGAGATAAATATAAGTGTTTAATAAACCTTTATAATATTGATATTAAATATAAAATTGACGTGTCAAAGTGCCTTTTTATGGCCTATTTGCAAAAATAAATTCATTGTTTTATTGTTGTTTCATTTAATTTTTTTATGTAATATCTTATCTCAATCATTGAATGCACAATAGAAGTGTTATTGCAGCCACAATAATTTTAAATTTTTGGAACAAATTGTCTGGCATAGGACTTTGGGTATTGATAACCCAATCAGGTGGTCCTTTTTTATTTTGTGGAGACATTTATTTCTGCTTAAATCATATTTTACTTGACTTAACAATTGTATGTTAGAAATATTATCAAATAGGCAGTCAAATATTGTTACTCAAATGAAAAAAAACTAAGTAATTGAATTACCTAACCTAAAGAAAAAAGAACTCTATGCTCGTTGTTAGTCTATAACAGTTATTGTTTTAATGATTATTACACATTTGAAGTAACAAATTACTCCTTTTATTGACACACTATTGTTGTTAAGCAGCTGCGGTCTAACTACAAGATCCTAGTGTGATAAGGCAGTGCGGTAAATACCACATGTCATTCTTAGCAGTAACAGTGCTACGTCGTCGCCTACGAATGGCTACGATACGCTACGACGACTACGAATGGCTACGACCACGACATTATCGAAACGCAGTCTACACATAACACTGCATTAGTGTTGTCATTGTATGAGTGCCTACGAAAACATATAGAGTTGAAAACTCTTCATAATTATGTTTTTTTTCAACGGTATAAGTCGGCAAACGAGCAGACGGATTACCTGAAGGTAAGCAATCGGCGCCGCCCAAGGAGTGCGTTGCCGGCCTTTTAGGGATAGGAGTTGCCGATATAAGGATCGGGAAGGAATATTGGAAGGGGAGAGATTGGGCCTCCGGTAACCTCACTCACACGGCGAAACACAACGCTGTGGGAACGCAAACATTAAATGTGGGATATATAAAAATGTAGTCATTTCATATAACAAAAGGGTTCATCACTTTAAAGCATTTACAATGGCAAATTGGGTAGTTTCCTAGGTCAAAATAAATGAATTAATCGTTGCACTAAAATAAAATATTGAATTATAACTATCCTTTAATGAATCGATCGATCGATAGACTAAGTTTTAGATATTTTATATTTTAAATAAGTAAGCTATTTGACGCAAAAATTACATGACGTCATCACTCAGTTTTTCATATTCATAGAAAAGTATCGTATTTGACGTTTGGATAAAAGTATTGAATTTGACTTGTTGGAAACTATCGTATTGTATATATTTCAGCACAAAGATTTATGCAATGTACCAAAACTAAAATTCTGTATTAAAAAAACAAATAAGTATTTTAATTAAATCATTTATTTAACCAAAGCTTAATGTGGAATCTTATAAGGTTTAGGTTTTTGCATGACCTTCATAAAGTAAATACTTTGACTTTCCTGTTGTTGAATGTGAGCCAGCTTTGCTTTATTTTTGATGTTTGTTGCTTCAGATGATGGTGTCTGATCATAAAATAATGGTATTGGTTGTACACATTGCGCAAGTGCCGATCCAGGCTGCGCGGGCGCCGGTTGCTTCACTTGTGGGTTTGCGTATGGTTGTGTTAAGCTGGTGTCATAGGCTTTGTTTTTAGCGAAATATTCTTCATGTAAGCTCAGCCATTTAGCCACCTGTTAACATTTTTTTCAAATATGAGTAAGGTTATAAAACAATAGGACTTGCAGACTAATCTAATGAACGTATTACGATCCTTAAATTTTAAGTTAAGGTCAAAATGCATCTATGTGGTCTATCCACATCTGTCCCGTTATGACGAGAACTAGAGATTTTCAATTTCAATTCTTAATTCACATTCATGAGTGAGTCATTTTAAATATTTTTTTTATATCTCACGATGGTAAGTTTCCGAATATATCTTGAAACTAATGAAATAATATTTTTACTTGCAAATTCGTTTCGGCGTGTTGGTGACTCTAATTGGGTATCCATGAGTATCTTAGATCACTGTGCTATCAGCTTCGTAATGAATCATTGAATATAAAGTATGATGAAACATCGATATTTCTAAGACTTCCGTTAAATAATTAATTGGTACTACAATTAATATTTGCACTATTTAGAAATTTGTGCATTAAATAATTATTGACAAACAATTATAATAAAAAGAGTAATGATGAGTAATTATCCTAATATTTAGTAATTATATATTACGATGTTAACTAACTATCCTAATTAATTAGTTTCATTCAGAAATATGATTTGCCTGAGGCTGTTCGCTCTTATTCTGCTCTATTCTTGTTAATCCTAATCTACTTCACATAGCTTAGTCTATTCTACGCAGCAAAACATAGCCAAGTTTCCTCATTAAAAAAAACAGCCAAATCAGTTAGTCGCTGTTCTCGAGATTTGCGATAACCAACTCGTTTTGCTATTTTTTATCATGTAATAGATATAATTCCGTTTCAAAATATTTTGTAACATTTATGTTCTCTCAGATAATTCTACATATGTATGGCTCCATGATGAGGTGCTTAAACTAAACTATTTTGAGATATTAAATAATTAGGCTTATCAGCTAATTTATAATATCGTCTAATTACCTAGCTAATTGTTAACTAATTGAACCACACGTTCATTTCATTAAACATTGACATCCCTTAAATAAGATCAGTACTGGGAACTAATATTTACGATGCTGGCAAGGAAAAAGAAGAACATCCGCTCATCTCTTGTGTTATCATGTCATTTTAATTTTCTCCGAACTAATTGGAAATAACAGCAGGCCATTTTGGAGTAGAGTCGCCAACAGAACTCAATGGAAATTGGTGGAGCAGACTTTTGCCAACAGGCACACTGTATTATAGGTATTCTATTTACACAGAAAACATTTCTTCCACAATTATTTTAGTTCGTCATAATAGGCTTAATGATTAACTGATTGAAAGGTGCACGAGTTGATGCATTCTTGTGCTTAACTTCCGATTGTAAATACCATTTGTTCGTAATAAATACAGTGCATAAGTAATTTATTCCACAAGTTAGCTAATTGATTCATACAAAAATATTGTAAAGACGCTGTAATAGAATATTTTTCTGCATCAAATTCCTCCTACCAATAGTTCCCTTCATCAAACATTTTCCTCTGAGTCACGACTTCATGAAGACGACGACGCTGTGACTGTGTTAGTCTATGTATTTATTTAATTATTTCTCGTGTAGTTTCTTATAGAATAGTAGAATAGTATTATATAATATTCTCAAGTCAATAAAAGTAGTTATTTAGATTAGGCACTAAAATATAATATTGATAGATTGATTTCATAAACTGTGATATCTGAATTCCGATAGAAGCTTGGCAAGGAATAAAACAATAAATTATATAAAACCAATAAAACATTGCTTAACATTACTAACATTGAGCCATCATTTCGATGTGTATAATAATGTTGAATAAAAGTTTTTCCCAATACGGATAACAATATAACTATCACGATTTCTTTCAGCGTACAACAGTGTCTAAATAATTTTACAAAGTATATTATAACGTGCAAATAATCTCAGCTCGCCGCCCGACCAGAACCAGGCCCGAGCGTACGGCGCGTAGCGTTCCGCGCGCGCCTCAAAGAGCCAATAGACCATCACAGACGGGGCCCTATAGGGCTGATGTTCAGCCGGGGTTGCGGGATAAGCGCAATGAGGCACCGCGACCTCGGCCCAGAGCAGGAGAAGGAACAGGGGGGTTTTTAGTCAGTAAGAGTCTGACACTTCCTCCCGCCCGGCCCTGGGCGGAAGAAGTCATTTGATGATTTTCCCCTCACAAAAAAAAAAGTGGAAATAATCTGATTGATAGTGCCACGACATCTATAAAACTAGCACGCTCATAATGAACAACTAGTTTTTAAACGGTTTTATTTAGCTCACCCCGTTTGTTTTATTCTTTTTTAATAATTTAAGGTAGCAAATAAAGGATCGCCCATATCAACCATAACAAATGTTCAAAGTATATTTAAGCAAACAATAACTTTTTACACAATTGAAACAGGTAGTTAGTGCAGTAAAGTAATAACTACAACAAACAATCTTCCCAGCGACAATAAAATAATAACACGTGCTTTTTTGTTAACGACGACAGTTAAGTAATTTGGGTCTCTGGGGACACGTATAAAAAGCCAGCTAGGTGCAAAAATTAACACATTCTTGTGTCGAAGTCTGAAGTGTAAAGATTAAGTAAATTATTCACCAAACCTTTAGTTATTGTAGATTTGACGTTGTCAATATGAAATTATCGACAATTATTCTATTTTACCTCTCTATATTATATACTGAGGTCATATCGTCAATTTATTGCGATGGATATTCCCTGTTCCTGTTGCAATTGTTCTGAGCAAGCAACGAGTCGCTTTGATTTTGTAAGTCTATTAATTTTATTTGATCAGTGTCATAACATTTTATGTAAATACTCTGCAGTTGCTTTGCAACAGCGGAATATTTGACTTATACTGATGTTTTATATACTTGTTTGATGTTTTGACTTACTAGATTCTTATTTTTTCAACAGGTCTATCAATGGTGGAGCGACCATCAATATTACTTTAAAAAGTTTCAAGAAGCCAGTCACACTGCGAGACCTGTGGAAGACGTGTATGACGGATATGAAAATGAGTGTTGTCAATACGAAAGCGCGTTCGTGCAGTGTGTATGTGGGCCCATACCGCGATATTGTTGCGATATGGTAGCTTATATGCATGAACCATACTATGGACCCAAGAAATGCTTTAACTGCGTGGCGTCACATTATGATCCAAGGCCGCTGCCCTATTTCGAACCACCGCGCGCCTATTCAATATGAGTTTGTGCTTAAAATTTTTTGTAAATGTCAATGTTTTTAATACTGAAATGCCCATCAATTGTATACCAGCAAATTAATAAATAGTTTATGAATTTTAAAAATATTTATTGTTTATCATTCCTAAAATCTCTTTTAATATTATTTTCTAACACAAAAATTAATCGTTTAATATATTCTGAATAAGTACAACATCACATATATTTTTCTTTAAGATTTTTGTGTGGTACACTGATAATCCTTTTTCGCGCTCGAACACTATGAGAGATTTCAAAAATAAAAGGCACAAAAAGCCACGTGATCTCCAACACTTTATTTTATTTGCTGATAGCTTTAATTTTTCCTTCATTCAGACAAAATACATAAAGGAATCCTCAATTTAATTAGCATTATCCTATACTTTTCTCCGAGGGATACAAAGAAATACACTTGTGATTTTTACTACACTAATTTTTGACCTTAAGTGATGATCCAAATCAGTGCAATTACAATAAAAGTGTTATGTTTAGCTCAAAAAGTTGTGCAATCCATAGTAGTTATTGACTTAATACTGTTTGATTTTGCGCGTACTTGCTCGTGCGCGCATAGTATTTCCAATCACATTGTCAGAAAATATTATAATATAACCTCTAAAAATTAATTGTACAAACGTAAGTTCTAATTTTTCTTCATTATCCTTCATTATAAATGTTTATAACTTGCTTTTAAAGTTTATAAAAGTACGAATATACTTTTTATAGAAATATTAATTAGGACTTAATTGTAAATTGTGATTTTTATTTGATAATTTGAGTAAAGAAAAAAACATTTTTGATAAGTAAGTTTCGGTAAACAACTTTAAGCATGGGAGGACAAAGCTTCGGCGCGAGTGGGTTGGCTCGACTGAAGTGATACCGCCGCCTCGCAGAAAGCCGCAGTAAAACAACAGAAGCGTTGTGATTCACCGTGTGAGTGAAGTTACCAGAGGCCCAATCCCTCGCTCACACCCCACCCCTTTCTAATTCTTAAATATCTAAAACACGTATCCCTAAAAGGTCGCGAGTGTCCATGGGCGGCGCTGATTGCTTACCATTAGGTAATCTGTCTGCTCGTTTGCCAACCTTTAACATAAAAAGAAACCGAGAAAAGCTCAAGCTGTTTCGAGCCATAACGAGCTCTAATTCATATCAATAGTTACTATTTAAAATTACTGAACCTTAAATAAAATTAAAATACTAAGAAGAAGATCATTTACAAAGATATAATAATCATCAAAGCATAGAAATATCATAAATCGTTATTAATACCTCTTTCCTCAAACAATTAAATCGCTTTAATACTTTTGGTGTAGATGAGCCATGCTTCGACACGAATGAGCCGGCTCGACTAAAGTACTACGGCCTTACAGAAAATCGGCCTGAATCAAAAACGTGAGTGATGTTACCGGAGGCCTAATCCCTCTTCAGCTCCAAAAATGCTGGTAACACACTTGCAACTGTTCTGTTGTTACGGGGCTCCATGAGTGGTACCAATTGCTTATCATCAAAAGAAAAGATAAGAAAAGAAAGATCTCTGCTAGTCTGCTAGTTAGGTTAGTTATTATGTTTTCGGCTTATCACGTAATAATTTGACGAGATACTCGACTAGTTTCAAGCCATGCTAGAGGCCCATATTCATGAGCAGCATTCCGCGACACGCGACGCGGCGACTGTAGCGCTGCTAAGTAGCAGTCTCCGAGTCACGTGTGACTAGTCGAGTATCTCGTCAAATTATTACGTGAGTGAGCCGAAAACATAATAATTAATTAGAAATGTCTCACGAAAATTGTAATAAAAATCTGCTAGTTAGGCTTAAATAAACTCTGATTGCAACTGGCTTGTTCGAATTTAATGGCAAAAAGCGTTTATAAACGATTTTATTGCTTATATGGTGATAATAGTACTACACATATATTCCGAAAGCATTTCACTGCCATCTTTCTGAAAAAACTTAAGTCCTTTTAATATAAAATTTAAAAAACTCTTCCTTCCGAGTTTATGTAACAAAAACCTTATAAAAGCGAGGATCTCCGGCATATCAGTACCGTCTGTGATGGTCAACTGTACGTGAAAATCTGAAATCATGTTCGAAAGTCATGAAGACGAGTTACCCTCACGATCCCATATGTTGTATTGGGGGATGGCTTAAAAATATTCTATAAGCGTAGTTTTTATAGAATAGTTTAGTAGTAGCGGAGTAATACTATGGCCTTACAGAAAACCAGCGTGAAACAACCACAGCGTTGTGTTTCGCCGTGTGAGTGAGGTTACCGGAGGCTCAATCCTTCCCCTTTGCAATGCCTCCTCATTCGCAAAATCTCCAAATTCCTAATCGGTTGCGGGTGTCTATAGGCGATGATTGCTTACCATTAGGTAAAACAATAGAAACTATCGTGAAACTGAAAATAACGACTTACTCTCCTGAATAAACTGAGAAAAGGCCTTAGTTTCAAGTCACAACGGGACTCTTCTTTATAATTGTTATTTTTGATAGAAGTGTAATTGTTGAAAATTTTATAAATGATGAAAATTGCGGCGTATCATTAGACTCGTATCAATACTGCGGCCTCGGCTTGAAGCAGAAGATGGAACGGGTTGGTTGTAGTCAGTATGAATCTGACATTCCCTCTCGAGCCGAACAAAGGCGAAAAAAGACATTAGGTACGTCTTTTCGTCACTGTTCTTTTATTTCCAACTACACAAATTATACTATCTCCGAGCCATTTAGTGTTCACTTAATACATCCTTGAATTCGACACAATTAGACACTAGTACCGAAAAACCACCTAAGAATATATCTAGGAACTAAAAGTGTAAATGTTAGAGAGTAAGCTGTCAGTCAAATAAAGCCTAAAATGTTAAGCGGCTATTTTTTACTAACATTTTAGCAGGTTTTCAAACGCCTATCGAAAGAGTGAAAGTCACAGTTAACCGAATGTCTTATCTGTTAATTTTTAATTGTCTACATTTGCTTATTGTTTCATACCAAAGAGTCACTTGAAGATGAAAAATGTACCTGAGTCCAATAAATGGGACAATAGTAAGCATGCTTTACTTAATTTGTAAAACTCCCAGCAAACGCAGGCATCCGCGCACCTATTGTCTTACTATTATGTCTCTAATTACCACGATTGAAGGGATAATTTTGTCTCAATGTACGTATGGTATTTTATTGACTGTACCAAATTCTATAACAGTAAAAAAATAATAAAACTAAGACCAATAACAGTCTCTAAGGGCCACATACATCTACTGAATACTGACGGAGACAATTCCAAAAGTAAATCAACGAACATTGTTAAACCAAACCCTTTTAAATTCCAAATGTCCAACTTCCATAACTTAGGCCAAACTTGAAAAGCTATCAAGCGAAAAATTTCCTCGAACCCTTTTCAACAGAATCGGCTATTAAAACACAAAGTTTATGCATATGGGACCCTGATCTTTTGGACATAGATACGATGTATAGCCAGAGAATGTAGCTATAGGTTCTGATTGGCACTGACTTAGTTAAGCGTATCTAAAACGTATTGTAATGTATTTTTTTTAAGTAGTAACAGCTTTTAAAATATCCCGGAGGTTTAGGACCCCGCTTCTCATGCACGTGTTTGAAACCTGGCAAGTAGCAATGTTACGTTTTATAATTATTAAGACACCTGACACTAACATCTGACCTGACAATAATCTACGGTGAAGAAAAGAATCGTGAAAAAACCTGGACTTACTATTCCTAAATAATTATAAGTTTGAAATCGCCAATGTGCCTGGAACAAGCGTGGTGATTAATGTTCAAACCTTGTCCATGTGAGAAGGCCTTTGCTCAGCAATGGACACTTAAAGGCTGATGATGTAACGTGGAAACACTTTTAAGAACAGCAAATTCATTTTAATGATATATCACATCAAGTGTGAAGAGTGGCCTATGATTATTCTACATTTTTTCGGTGAAAACCTCTTAACTTTTCAATGTCATAAACTTATTTCACAAACTTCCTTTTTTACCATTCATAACTAAGCGTTACAACGTCAGTATTATACTGTTACTGTTCCATTTAATTTTGTTAAAGTACTGGTTCGAACATCGGAATCAATATTATTATAAAGGTTTTTGTTTAAAAGCCGCCGGATGCGATAAATTTGTGGCATGTCTCCTCCAACGTTATTTAGAGTAAACGCCTTAGTATCTGTTGGTCGTCGCGATCTTGTTGGTGGATTTGACCCGTTTTGTTATGAACAATTTAAATATTTGTAAATCGCTTCAACAGCTATAAAAGATTCAAATTCAAATCATTTATTGTGGATCATAGGTACATTATCATGCAATACAAATTAAATTTAATTGATATTGTTAAATGTTATGTCAGATTAATAAGCCTGGTAGATAATACAAAAACATAATATTTGAATTTTATAACAATTAAACAACGTCACTTCATAGTTTATTAGTATCTAATAATAGTTTGTTGTAATAAACCGGCTGTTTCAGTGTGCTGTCATTTAAAAATTCTGTGACTGAGTAGTGACGTTTGCTTGTCAATAGTTCGTTGCGTTTTTTTAATGTTTTAATATCGCTCACAGGTCTGAAGACGTTCCCGCACGTGCATAATATCAAACCCTATCATATTCCTACAAAGTTATAATAAAAGAGGTAAATCACCAATTGTACAGTTGGTTCAGTTTCAGTTTAGACCAATTTCAGGTCTAATTCAATTCTGTATTAGATCAGAATCAGTCTTAACATTGTAATAGATGATTGTGAAGTTAATTGTTTTAAGTAAACCTAGTTACAGCAATAAAGTTTTTAAAGAATCCATGGAGTGCCTTACTAACAGTTCTTAATATTTTTATTTTTGTGTTATTTTTTACAAAATAAAATACCCATGTTGCCAATGCTGTCTGTCGATGTCAGATATATTCAATGACTTACAAATAGTTTTAGCTTTTATAATAACTTGCTGTATTCTATTGTGTAAGGAGAATACGTCT